ATTTAAACGCGTGACTATAAAATAGAATAAAATAGAAACGGAACATATATATTATATACCATAAGTAACGGAAAACAGGAACAAGTAAATAATAAATAAAAGTAAAATGGATACAAATGTTTGATAGACCGTGTTTGAAAGATTGATCTCCTGCGTTCATTAGTCATTTCACCCGAAGAAGTTGAAACCGGGCGTGTTAGCGTCCACCGGTCTTAACACAATTCTTCCCCCTATCTACGGTTATTATGTACATTGGCCATGGCCATGCTAGATAAGAAGCGAGAGAAGTTGAAACCAGGTGTGTTGGCGTCAATCGGTCTCAACGCAATTCTATCCCTTATCTACGGTTAAGTTACGGGAGAAGTTAAAACCAGGTGTGTTGGCGTCAAACGGCCCTACTCAGTTCTTCCCCCTTAACTACGTTAATAATTTACATTGGCCATGCCAGAGAAGCTGATAATAGGTTAATAAATGGCAACGCGTCATGCCTTCCTTCACCTACGTAACAAGAGAGAGAAAAGTGAGAAAAACGGCTGCGAATACCGGAACTCTCTTCCACTTGTTGAGCTTTCATTTTTCGCAATCGACGAAATTGACTGCTTTGAAGAAAGCTCGTTTCAATGCAATAATTACGACTTTACGTAATTCGTAACTTCCCTTCCGTAACTCCAAATAATTACGTAATTCCGTAAATCCGTAAATTACGTGCAAGCCTAATTTAATGTAATATTTACTGTACTATTTTTGTATTTGCATGTGGTCTGGTGTAATGAAGGTATTGAAAATAGGATAATTATTCATAGGGCTAGGAGGGCTGCGAGTGTGAGTTATGTAAGAAAACATGTCAAACTTCAGGTGTTATAGAATAGATTCGTGAAGAGGTTGCGCAATAAATTTATAAAAATGAAATTTTTTTTATTAATACCGTTTTTGTTTCCAAGGGCAGTTGCAAAATTAGTCAGTCAGTATTTTAAAATGAGTAAACCAGCCCTTGGAGAACCTCCCAATATGCACTAAGCGTAAGGCACTGATTTTCAACTAGTGCTTTGGAAAACGTTCCGAAAGATTTTATTCTGCATAGGATATTTGGTGGTTCACGTAACCGCTGGTCGGTTACGGCTTCCTCCACCACCAAGTCCATGCCTCCGAAAACAAACAATATAACTAATCCCATACCCGACTTGGAATGGTAACCGGACGAGAGGCCGTGGTTCGCCATATGGAGAAGCCGTCTTATCGGTTTTCCTCTCCCCCGGGATAAATATGTAAATCCTATCCTATCTTATTTTATAACTGAAGACAAAAATACTGTGAGAAATGCGGTTCTGCAGTAAAGTTCTAATCCTACAAGTGAATTCCGGGTCTCATGTAGTTTCGTACCTAACGTACGCCTACTACCCAGTAGGCGTAGCATAACAAATTTTTCACGTGTCAATACTAACCCCCAGTCCCCACCCGACCACACCATCCAAAAATTACAGTACTACGACGTCACAGTGACGTAATAGAGCCCTTCAAATTATGCGAACTGTCATCCAAGACGCGCAGACGAGAAATCGAACAGCCATTCTCTCGTTTTCTCGGCGCAACGGTCCCGATAGGAGAGAGATCGCTGACGTTAGTCAGTTCTTTATCGTCGGCACCGATTCCATTTCGGGCGATCGTACGAGTATTTGGCAAGCTCTATGACGTGATTGTGACGTCGTAGTGACGTAATTTTTGGATGGCAGTCAGGTGAGGGTTAGGATTGGCATGTCAAAATTTTTTTATGCTTCGCCTACTAGGAGTAGGTTAGGTAAGAAACTACACGAGACCCGTGAATTCCTTTACCGTACCAGTAGCCTACCGGTACGTTGCGCTATGTGATTTTAGTTTAACTGCAGAACTGACTCCTCCTTCGATTGCGACGAAGTTTTTGCAATCTCTTGAAATGGGCAAAAAATACGGTATGGTACCGTATGTCTGCCATTCACGGTTTGGACCCTAGCACATGAGCAGTGAACACTGTAACACCTGAACAAGAAACGTTAATGAAGTTTTTAAATTTCTTTTAAATATTCATAATTCAATAAATAAAACAGAAAATGAATTATCATGTACCGGTATTACAGTACCGGTACTGTATTAGGATTTACATGTTTAAGACAAGTCTCTTGAGGATAATAAGAATCGCGCGGCGGTGTGGTTCAACGGGCTAAGCGTTAGGAATACGCTCGCCACCGCACCTCTAATTACTCTGCGTGGGTTCCAGGTTCGAATCCCATGCAGGGACTGTAGCCTATGTGCGAGAGGATTGCTGGACTGCTCGCCGTCGTTGGGCGGTTCACGTAACCGCTGGTCGGTTACAGATTCCTCCACCACCAAGTCCATGCTTCTGAAAACAATATAACTAATCCCATACCCGACTTGGAATGGTAACCGGACGAGAGGCCGTGGCTCACCATATGGATAAGCCGTCTTATCGGCTTTCCTCTCCCTCGGGATAAATATGTAAATCCTGTAATGAGGATTAGACCAATGAATAACAATAATGAGCCTTAAAATGAAAAAAAGGTACTAGAAAAATACACCATCCGCATGGATGTATCAACTACCGTACCAAATATATTACGGCTGAGATTTATTTTTTTACTTACATACGGTGACCGTACATTTGAACCCATGTACATTTGAACCCATGCGTATATATCCACGGGTTCAATCTATATGCGGGTGCTAAAACCCATGGGTTAGGGTTAGTATGGGTTTAACTATCCATGAAACAAAAAAAATTCCATAGGTGCAATAGCATACAGGTGCAATTGTCATGGGTTCAAATGTACGTGGGTTCAAATGTAATGGAACCCTTACATACAATTATGCTTGCAAACAATATCGGGTGTATAGCTATTTTTCTTCCAAAATTGACCTTCAAAATTCATCCAAATGATAAACTCTAGTTAGTACTGTAGTACCGTATGTACCACGGTTTTAAAAGAACAATGATAACTAGGGTAGCGTCGCAGACATGTCTTTAATAAGGTATAAAGCAATGATGTTTTATTATAATAAATTAATAATATTATGTAGATATTTTGAAGAAACGTTTTATAATAAAATATTTGTGAAATTCTGAAACTTACATCCCTAGTTTTGCCTTTTATAACTTTATATTGTCATAAAACAGTAATAGGAATTGGGTCAGGTATAGTTTAAATTAGTACCACATATACTTCTAGTGGGCGTGGCTCAAAATTTTTTTAATATGTCACTCCTGACTACGCTATCCAAAGATTTTAAAGGTATATTTATTTGTACTGTTGACTGTAGATCTTCGAAGCCTTGAATTTTAATTTGTTATTAAGTCTTTTTGTTATTCCTTTTCTATGCCTAAACTGATTGAGATAGGAATTTATTGAGATATTTGGATTGTATATTTCTAAAAAATCCGAATATTTCATGTGGTGTCCCTCAAATAATTCTCAATATTATAGGTCAGGGTGGTCCAAACGCAGGCCCGCGGGCCACATGTGGCCCGCCGCTTCATTTTCTGTGGCCAGCATCGCATTCAGAGATTAATCGAAAAATCGCGTTTTGTGTTGTTTTGTCATAAAATTAACTAGAAAAATCTTTTGACATATCGTTATATCAATAATGTCACTGAACTGACTAGTTGTATGGCTAGCTGAGGTAACTAGCAAAGAATGATGTGCTTGGCAGTCTAAATTGTTATCTGGCTTTCTATCGTTTTGGTCGGGAATATATGATAACAATTTTGGCAATCCAGCCTAAGTTGGCTATGCCTGATAACTAAATATTAATGTTATGGCCCAACAATATGATACATGCCGGGTGTTTTTTTGCAACCAGCCCAAATAGTATTACAAAGAATGCTGCCTATATGTCAGAAAGTTTAGTAATTACCCTTCTGTTCCTTACATTTGGTAATCAATCATCCTGCAGTTAAATGTAAGTTATTTCGTAAAGATGAGTTTAAAAAGAAAGCTGGCGAATTCGAACACCTATTTGTAGGAGGGGAAAACCACAATGCTTTCTTGATATGTCTGCAACAGAAGAATTGAATTTTAAACGACGTTTTAAACTTTTGTGAGCAATGAGCATTTTCCAAAGTTGAGACATTACATTAAAAATCTATCGATGTTTATAGCACCTACATTTGCGAGAGCAGTTTTTCCAATATGATGAGTTTGAAATCTTACACCAGGGGTCGGGAACCCATGTCTCGCGAGCCATGTATGGCTCTTTTGGTGACGGTATATGGCTCCCAGAAAAACCTAATATTCTTAGGCTAAGCTTACTATTGTTATGAGATTTTAAACTCTTTTATAGCCAAATTTGCCAAAAAGTTTGAGAACGCCCGCGCGCCCAGCGCATGTCTATGTTATGCGAGAGAATTACCAGACAGGCATTGTGACAAAACTATGGGATTCTGGAACATATTGTGGATCAAAAATCGATAGAGTCGCGGAGCAATAGAGAAAAGCTTATCGTCCGTTTATACGTACTGGTTACAGTATTTGTCATATTTAGATCGGACTAGCGAAGCTAGTTATTGAAATACTGTGGAGATGCCTAAACATAAGAAGGGTGATGACACTGATGAGTATCGTAGATTTCTACTTGTGCTGCATGTGAGCAGCTGTTCAAGGCCCTCAGCGACAACATGCAGTATCAGAATGTGTTGACTTTTGAGTAAAATTTTCAGGCCTGATTGGGGGAAGAAATTTATATATGGCTCGCACGGAAATGCAATCGAAAATATGTGCTTTTCATGGCTCTCTTGACCAAAAAGGTTCCCGACCCCTGTTTACACTATATGTAGATATAGGAAGACGTTTGCAGGTTTTAGTAAATTTTTTGGTGGTTTTTGCTTGGGTTAGCTCTATAAATGACAGATACTGATCAATATGTTTGCACAATAGAAGTGTTTTTTGTATTGCACTGTTTAATTAACTATTCATATTCACTATCGTGGCCTGCGAACAATGCGAAGATAATTTTGTGGCCCGCGTAGCCGACAACCTTGGACCACCCTGTTATAGGTGTTTCATGGTTCAAAAAAGGATGAAAATCTTTGCTCTAAGGAACAGTATTCATATCGCTCATGCTGGATTTTTTATGAAATCTAATTACCCAGTAATTTGCTCTATCATATCAGCATATAATTCTGTAATTTTCTGCCAAATGTCGGTAGGTAGACTTTCACTAATCTCAAATCATCACTTAGTCAAACTGCAAACTGTATGCTGGTATGGGCAGGTATGATGTATGAAAAACATTCCAAACTTATTTGAATTGTAAGATTTCCATCAATATTTAAATATTAGGAATAGATTCTAACAAAATTGTTTGCTGTTCAGAGCTTGTTATTGGTGCAGCTGTGTAGGTAACATACTTGAATGAAAAAATGCTGAAGGCAGCTGGTTATTTCAGTGGTATCGAATGCCCAACGGAGGCTGGAGGCGAAGGATGCTCCCGTTCTTATTGCCCTTTTCGTCATCAATTGCCCAGCAAACGAGCTGCACCATCAACTTCTGCTGCAAACGTAACAAATTCGAGTATTACAATAGAATCTGTGAACGATGCTATAGAAAAGCTAAAGTCTGATATCGGGAGTGGGGTTGGTAATGGTGAACTATCCATTGATGAGTATAATCCTATAATAAATGAGTCGTATACTCCAGAACTGTACTTATCATATAATGAACATACCAGCGCAGCTAATCTTTACACACCAAGTGTGACATCTTCTAAACATTCAATTGATTACTGTCCGGAAACAGTAATGAAATCCGTTTTGCATGGCGCAAAGGGAGCAAGTAAGATAGTAAAGAAAATACGTCCAAAATACAAATCAAAAAATATTTATCAACTGAATTCTCAACAACCCATCACAGATATGGAATATGACCCTGTTGTAAATTACAGCACATCTACACTAGAAAATAGAAAGCTCTCAAATGCCGAAAAAAGAAATCACCCAGCAAGCGAAGACGTTAAAATTCCACATAAGAAATCGAAAATTGATAAATATTCTGAGTTCGGAATAGAGCTGAATGATGAAGGTGCAGATGAAGATGGTCTTGTGATAAACGAAGATCTTGAAGTAAACCAAGAGGACGAACCTTTATTTGAATCATCTGATATTAAAAATTCTGGGGAATCTGAATATTCCTTTGTTAGTGTTGTTCATGAAAGTGTATATGATGATGACTCTGTTTTTTTAGAGAGCAAGAAAACATATCCTAATGAATCTAAGAATGAATTGAATGAATCAGACGAAATATTGCAAAAAAGTATTTCAAAAAGATCCAAAAAATTGAAGGTGAAAAATAAAAAATCAATCACAGATAAAACTTCTAAAATTTTAAAATCTGGTAATAAAAATGTTGTTGGTATAACTTCAAAATGTACAGTAGCAAAGCAGAATAAAAATTCCACTTTAAAGAAAAAAAAGATAGGTGGGCTTGGTAATAAAAATGATAAAATGTCACCCAACATGTCAAAAAAAGACAAAGATGGTGTGAAGTCAATGAAAAAGAAAAATGGAATTGTGACATCCAAAAATATTGATATTGCCACCTATATTGATCGAGATGAGATAAAAGAACTTGAAAAAGACCTTGAAAATGGAGACAGATACGAAGAGTGTTTGCGAATATTTCAAGAAGATTCAATAGAGGTAGAACAATCGGGTGGGTCTTGTGATAGCAGTGCTAATGAGCAAGATAGTGCAAATACCTCCATCGAATGTACGACTAAACCAGAAACTGTTGAGGAAACTAGTGCTGCAACAGTAGGGAAGCGCAGAGTTGCTCATGTTAATGCTTCAATATCAGCAGTCTCACTTCGGAAGCCATTAGTTCCCAGAAAGCGAATTTCAACTCCCGCTCAGCAAATGATGGAGCGTCTCAAAATTTTGGAACAAGAGAAAACAAAGGAGACATCCACGAGCTCTTCGAGGGTAGCACATAAATTAAGTGGCCAAATGGCTTCATTGGCAAAGAACATCAACAGTTCAGTTAAACCAATGACTTCTTTAGCAAAATATGAAAAGAAAATAGAGCAGAATCCTTGGTATCGTGGAAAGAAAGAAGAACCAACAGTGTGCGGGACCGCTACAAAGGGTGTTTCTCGAGTTGCACACCAATCGAAGGATACAATTGTCACTAAAAATGGAAATGTAATACCATCTCGTCCAAGAATTGGTGTTGATAGATATAGTAGAGTGCCTACAAATATTAGGCAAAGATACTTGACTACTTTTATTGATGAATGCTTGAGAATATTTAACAACAATCATGAAAAAGCATATGCTATGGCACAAATGGAAGAGGAGCAAATTAAAAAGAGAAGTAATACTAAAAATATTTACCTGAGCCTCGCAGCGAGTACACTAAAAAAGCTTCGCGAAAAGCCAGCATGTGAAGTAAAGAATATATCTGAACAAAAAAACACAGAAACTGTATCACAAAAAGGCATCAGCAAGAAAGCTGATAGAATTTCTCAAACTAGCAATGAAAAATCCAAAAGAGTCATGTCACATGATAGACTTCTTGATACCAATACCAAGAAATGTAAAGGTGGGTATACCATTGAAAAGAGAGAGCAAAAATCAAAATTGACACTTTCAGATTTGTATGAAACAATGTGTCGTTATATTTTAACACCAGAACAATTAGATCAAAATGGTTATCCTAGACCTTGTGATGAGCCAGGTAAAGCTGAATTTAAATGCGACCCACCGCATAAGCCTTTTAACAACACAAGTAAAAAGGTTTGTGTCCACTGTGGCAAAGAATTCTTTCTTGACAAGAAAGGTAATTTCGCTCATGAAGAAGAATGTGTTCATCATTGGGGAAGGGCATACATGACTCGTGTAGGGCGAGGTTGGGAGAAAAGATATTCATGCTGCCAGGAAAGACTTGGTTCTGAAGGTTGTACTGTTGGTGATAGCCATGTTCATGCAGACAACAAATTAGATAGATCTGGCTATGTTAGGACATTGATGAAGTCACCTCCATCTGATGGGAATGCTGGTATTTTTACATTGGATTGTGAGATGTCATATACCGTTAATGGTTTGGAGTTGATTCGTGTAAGCGTTCTAGATACCAACTGTGAATTAATATATGACACTCTCGTTAAACCAAGTGGGAGAGTTCTGGATTATAACACAAGATGGAGTGGCATCACTAAAGACAATATGACAAATGTAAAAACGACAATCAGAGATGTACAAGCTGTTTTCTTATCAAAATTTTCGGCAGACACAATATTAATGGGTCACAGCCTTGAAAGTGACCTCATCGCTCTACGAATCATTCATGAGACAGTAATTGACACTTCTGTTGTTTTTCCCCATAAAAGGGGTTTCCCATACAAGCGTGCACTTCGAACTCTCTGTTCAGAATTTCTGGGTCTGGTCATACAAAATATGGCTGGTGAAGGGCATGACAGTACAGAGGATGCCTCAGCATGCATGAAACTAATGTTGTGGAAAGTGGAAGAAGATGGTAAATTGTCATCTTCTAACAAATAGTATTGCAACCGCTTACCTGTAAATTATTCCCTTTTTCTCTTATTTCAGTCATACTTTCTTGTTGCACCATTTTCTTTAGTTGTTCATTCATATATTTTATTTTTGTTTGACTTATGCGCTATCCAGAGATTGATAATAGCTCATTTGATTTCTTATCATCAAGATTCATACTAAATTTGAGTGTCCATACTAAAGTTGGCACACTATAAGGTCCTCTAATAATTATTTTGTCTTTTTTATGTGCAATCATTAGTATGTTTATGTTTCTATTTCATATGTTTATAAAATAGGCCGTTCACTTGATATATAAAGCCGATCTTGGTTTACTAATTAATTGTTCCATACCATTTGGTGTAATATTAGTTTATGAAGAACGTACAGTTCTGTCAATAGAAAAAATCTGGAACAAAACTGAAATTATAAATCGATGTGTGATATGGCCAGGACTTGGCAAGTCTATTTTGACTCCTCGCCTATACATTCTAAAAGTAACGATCGTGTGCACAATTAGTACAAAAAAAACTATGAAATAAAGTTCCAGACGTGACGAAAAAGTAGTTTTTAACAAGTTTAATTTGCATATATTATCAAGTATTCATTTTGATTCATTAATGGGATCAACTGAAGAATCTCCACCCCAACTAAGACCAACTGTAGTATATCCAACCCAACTAAGACCATCTAACCCCACCAAATAATTAGTCCAGGTCAAATGAAGGATCAACTGGTATTATCGGGTTAGGGGATGGGGATATTCTTCAGTTGTGAGACGTGATCAACTGAAGAATCCCCCCAACCCCCTCCCCCCTCCAGGTGAGTCCAACTGAAGAATCTCCTTCCCAGATGGGTCTGGGAGGGAGATTACAACTGAAGAATATTCAGAGATTCATCAATGGTCGGTGGGATGATTTGATTACTCCCTGATAATGGACTCTAATGTTTTTATATAATTATCGAATTGTAAATGAAACGTTTTGGCTGTCTTCAAAATTAGCGAATATGTGTCTTAAAACTAAATGGTTTGAATACGTATTTTGAAATGTTTCTTTACTCTCCGCCATACACTGTGAAAGAAACTGCATGCTGAAATTTTTTTTTGTCATTGTGTTTTTGGTTCATTTGGAGTGTAAGTTACAATGGGATATTTTATTTTTGTTTCAATGATTTATTAAACTTTTCATCGGTTGGATTTCATATGCATTTGTTTAGTCTATTATTTGGCAACCGTTGATCACTAGTACGACGTATGGTGGTCTTTGCGCATTGATATTTCAGAAAAACATGCCTAAATTCCCGTTTGATTATAGGATAAATTTACATATTATATTATCCCAGGGGAGAAGGATAGCCGAAAAGACGGTTTAATCATGTGGCGGACCACGCCTCTGGTCCGGTGTCCAGGTCGGGATGCGCCACACCGCCGATTATGGGTACCATACCAACATCATCATAACAGGACGGCTGGGAATTACCGAAACTACCTTGAGTTTCCGAGATACAGCTACAGATAAAAATGCGGCGGATATTCACTCTTTCATAAGGAGTCCGTTGCTGGATCTGTGCTATTCACGAATCCATGTAAGAGGGCGTTTTGTTCTGAAGTTAATTGATAGAATGCATAAGAAGACAGGCCGTTTGAGGAAATAGCCTTGTATCATACATAGGTAGACTAATGAATCAAGATTAGCAATCGTGCATTCAAGGGTTCATATTTGGTGGAATCTTTTGTACAAATCCCCGCCGCTAATGCAAAAATGTGAGATTTGAGAAAAAAAAAATGTCGCCCCGTTCTAACATAACAAATTACTAATCACCCAGTTGGGGTTCGGGTTAGTATTGATTTGAATTTCCACCGCAATCTGAATTCCTAACTGAACAATCATAATTTTCTTATTTTAAGCGTTGGCGAGGATGTTTTTTTTTTGGTGGGGCTTTGTAATAGAGATGCCACATATGCCATTTTTGTCGTGCTGAAGTTTGTAATTAAATATGGTAAGAGTGACTCAGGATCGTTAGTAGGAAATGTATGTTTGGGATTTGTGGTTCACTTGTGTACAGATAAATTTCTTTTGTTTTTGTGCGTAACTCAAATCACAGAAATCTAACTATTTGAGCGGTGTTTTTCGGTGAGCGATGGCTTAGTGCAGCGGTTCCCAATCGGGGGCCCGTGACCCAGCAAGAGAGCCACAGACATTTGGAGGGGGACACAATGCTACACGCAAAACAGATTTTACTTTTACAAGAACCCCCCTCGTTATTCTTAGTTTCATTGCCCGAGAGGGTTATTTCAAAGGTTGTTTTCTGTTGAGCACGTAGTGTTTGAACATAATGGGATTTAAAATGTACCCATTAAAATACCACTATAAATACCAGTGGAATGATAAACAGGGGATGACGAGGGCTAAAAGACTCCAGAAGAGGTCCACGAGCCATAAAAGGTTGGGAACCACTGACATATGGGTTAGAGTGGTTCTCAAATTTTTCAGAGTTGGGACCCACTATTTATTACCACAGCTTATGGCGACCCATTTAACTTATGACATAACACAGCACACAGCAATGGCTAATCATTGCAAAACTACCGCGTTTCCTCGAAAATAGCACCTGGCCTGAAAATAAGATAATAATTTGAATTTTCAAAATGATTTTAATTAAACCCTACCCTTAAAATAAATTTAAAATGTGTGGGAGAAGAAAGGTTCATTGGCCTGAGGTAAGGTGAAGATCACACCACTATTCAAGATCGTGTGATATCACAAATATGATATTTGTTATTTGATTTTTGTATAAGAAATACAAATAGAAACAATGGCTGTCGGTTTTTATATAATGTTTAGTAAAAAATCTTGTGATTTTCTACAATGTGATTTTATTTTTGATAAATGAACACAAAAGACCTCTTCCAAAAACAACCATAGTGATATTCTTCAAAAGAAAATAAATGAAAATCCTGTCTAACTTTCGGGGAAACACGGTAAGAAGTGCTGTACAGTGTACAAACTGCTATGCGTAAAAAGCCACATGGTCATTTTTTGTGTAGCACACATTTGTTCCTTTGAAAAGATCGTAAAAAGCCCACCATCTCACGCATATTGAACTAAATTAGGCAGACGATTTAAACCGTGAAGCGTTCGGTACCTCGGAAAATAATAGATTTGTGAATCATTTGTGACTTTGCTCAGAATGGAAAGCCTCGGTAGTAATTTAAGTGATCCCCAAATTACAAACTTAATCCAAAATCACAAACTTTCGAGTTCTCAAGAATGTTTTATATTTACTCTGTCCCTTTTTTGCAATACCGTTAATGTTTCTAATTCAACGTAATTCATAGCGTAATTCAACGCTATGTAGTTTCAGTATACCAGTTTCAGTCGTACACCCGTAATTTTTCTCAGAGATCTCGCTGGTATGCCGCACCCCTGCTAACCGTTAGGAATACCCAAGTCATTGCATCTCTGATTATCCGGTGTGGGTTCGCAAGAATGAATTCCATGAGGATAATTATGTGCGAATGGATTGCTGGACTCCTCGCCACTGTTCACGTAACCGCAGATAGGTTACGGTTTCTCCACTATCAAGTCCATGCTTCTGAGAACGGGACGCGAGCCCATTTAATCGGCACGCGAGCGAGGCCTCGGAAACGAGATCATTCTCCTTTAGATACAATGTTTCAAGACTCTATATTATCTGATGAAACTCGGTGTTCGCTTATTCATTATCGTTTTTTCAACAATCCGTTACTTATTTCAACTCGTCAACAAGGCGTATGGCTACAAAGAAATATATCATGACGAAACCAATGAGTGGGCTTTTGAGAAGAGCGCCGCATTCATTTTGCTTCATTCTTACATAATATAGTTCGTCTGTGCCACCATTTTTCTTCATTTTTGCTTGATTTATGAAGTTGTAAAGCTTATGTTGGCTCGAGTTACTTGCTAACTTACTGTTATAAATTGATTTCGAATGATATATAAGTAATTAGGGAAGGGAATACAAGAGAGGAGTGCAGAAAAAGAACTATTGCGTGATTGGGATGCCATTCCCAAAAAATTTTGTGTCTGAAAAACTTTGCAACTGCATTACTCTCCATGTTTTCATCTACTTATGCTTGTGAATCTTAGTTCTAAGTTATGAACTTTTTTGAGTCTTGTAACAGGAGTAGCCTGAAAGATGAAACCAGTAGTTTTCTCTGGAAATTATAAAATAAAAAACCCAATGTAAAATCTCTATAAGTGGTAATGCAGCAGCAGAAGTCTCGTTGATATAGAATAAGAAAAGTAACTAAATCTATTTGTCGGGATGACATTTTCCCGATTAGTGAATCGATATGTATATACATGTTTAAAAGGTTTATTATTGTGTATTTTTGCTTTGAAAATGGCAAAGCATTGTTTTGAATTTTGGTCGGCACGCGGAAGAATTTTGTCCTTAAATTTAGCCGATTTTGGCATGCGAGCCGAAAAAGGTTGCCCACCCCTAAATATGCCTTTGCATGACATACTGTATTGCATATTCTATATACTAAATAACAAACCATATATATGAATATTTTTAGACTCCTGCTTATCTATTCAAACTGAAATTTTGATCTTGCTCGAAAACGTCTAATTTTTGCGATTGGCTTTTTTAGAGCTGTTTTCCCAAAACTTCTAGATTTGTGCTGTTGGTGTCAATTCAGCTAATAACTTATTGCGCCCGGTTCAATATTATTTAACGTTACTTCATGTGTTTGAACATAACAGATCTCATATTACTTGACTAATCAGTGAATTTTTTTACTTCGATTGCTGTCTATGAGTTTTCCTAAAATGTCAATAAACAAAGTCAATCAAGAGCTGCGTTTAAAGCATATAACAACGAACTGTGGAATATAACTAAACTCATAATAATATTAGATATTTTCACAGCTATTTATATTATAGCCAATCATTGAGTTGTGTCATCAAACCTTCTAAACGCCAACATGAGTTTCGTCAAAATAATTTTCGTTATCTCTTTCATGTGTGGTGTTTCCGCGGAGAAATTACCCGGTAAGATTTGCCTCGGATGCAATTACTTGTAAAATTCTGTAATATATGTCTGCAGGCAACTGTTGCCTGGCTTCTAGAATTCAATAATATGAGAGATTTCTTAATTATGTCAAAGAGATCACACGCACAACCAGTGACTCACGCATTCTGGAGTTAGCATTCAATGACCCCTATACTAGGGTTGCCATACCGTCCGAAAAAGTCCGGACGTGTCCGGAATTTAAAGTTAAATTTTGCATTCGGGAAGAATTTAAAAAATGCTTAAATGTCCGTAATCCGGAATTTTACTGAAAATAGTCATGCGCTGTCCGAAATTTTGCTTTTTCAAATATGGTAACCCTACGGCCTATACAGTATTCAAATTAAACTTTAAAACAGGGGTTCTCAACCTGGCTACCATTTTTCAAAGAACCGCAATTTTCTATGATTTTTTAGCGATGTTGTAGCCAAGAGCTTCGGATCCGAAAGCTTCATTTTGCGACGCCAAAATTATCCAATTGTCAAAAGATTAAGGGGTCCTGACATCCATAACATATAGTTGGCCTTAAATCAATGCGCATTAGTTAATCTAACTGCTGCATGTAGCACAACTAATTTTACGTATAAGAACTTATGTGTTGTAACAATAATCATCTACATCCTACAATGACATCTTTTTCACAGACAAACGATGGGTTTGGTGAGTTTGCCATGCTCTATGTCACAGTGGTTCCCAACCTTTCTACCCTCGCGGACCGGTAAAATAAAATGTACTTGCGGACCGGCAAAAATAGAAATAAGTGGAACAGAAAATAATAACATATATTTGCGTGGTGTCGGGCAATCACTATGCTTTTAGAAAAAAAGATATATACACTTAAATACATTTAACATGAGAAGAAACTATCAAATAATGTGCCGGCCAATAATTGAAATGAGTGAAACATAAAATAATAACAAATCATTATGCGTAAAAAAGGCATTAAAAAAAAGATTTGCAATACGTAGCTCTGCAGAGGGTCACAGTCAATTTATTTGATTCGTTTTAATTAATTAAAACTAGAAGTAACTGGTTGAAAATTCGGACAACTGTTTGATTACTCAGCGATGGGTATTTGTTATCAAGATAGCTCAAGAATGAATTGTGACAATGATTCTTTTATAAATCTGGACTGTAAAGTTGAG